ACATACAGATGCAGGAGGACCCGTATATCATAAACAAACTGCAGCCCAGCTGTCTAGGGAAGTATGTGATATTTAATCTATGGAAGACATTAAGAACCTTTTCATAATGCGTGTTTTTGATTTTCAAAAATATTAAGACTGTTCTCTGCATTAATGATGGATTGGATTAAATGTGCCCATTTCCTAGGTAATGCCCCTCTGGAGTTCCACTGGGAACCCAGCGAATCTGGCATTTAAACTGAAGAAATCCCTGTTTAGACTGTGCGAGTTCCCAGAGGGGCCACAGATCTGCATTGCAGCTGCGAAATGCGGCGTCTTTTCTGTCTCTTATCAGAGATCTGTGCTTCTCCTGGGAAAATTCATCCCAAAGGGTTCAGCCCTTGCCAAATTTTCAACTGGATTTCGTTTGTTTATTTTAAATTTCCTTTTAAACATCTGAAACCATCAAAATTAAAAACAAAACACAAACCAACAAAAACCAAAAGAGAAACAAAACCACTATATCTAATTTGGGTGAATGCCTCTCTTTCTGTCTATGTATATATTAATTAATTCCTTCAGGCTGCCAGCTTGTATTGCAGGACTTAGTCTAAAATGGATTTAAGTGACCGAAATTCTGAAAAAGTGGAGTTTAATTGAAAAGTATCAATGTTTTTCTTCTCCCCTGTGGTACTGCACTGTCACCTCACTAATCTTCCTGGTGGCTGATTCACCTGAATTTTAAAATAGTTCATATCGAGCGCTCAGTCATGTGCAAGATGCCGCTCTTCTGGCCCCAGTGCCGTGCTGCAGTGACAGAAAGGCAGTACCCCAGGGCAGGGACCCGAAGGCAAGCTGCCCACCCCAGTCCTGCCTTGTCTCCTGCCATCAGCCTTCCAGAGAGTTTTTCCCCACATCTTCCTTCTTCATATCTATACTGATATATCACACAGAATATCTAGGTTGGCATGGGGCCAGATATCTTGAGTCCAGAACAACTTCATACATTTTTTCCCCAAGTCTTCTACTGTGCTGCAAGGCAGAATTTTAATATGATGCTACATGGACCCTGGAGGCTGTGTCAAGCTGCAAACGCAACTTCATCTCCCTCAGCTTCAGGGGTTCTCTGAGCAAGTGGGAGGGTTGCGCTCTATAAATAGAGTGTACCAATCCATGCTTCATTTTATGGAAAGGAGTGGTACAAAACACACAGCTACAGTCTATTCAGGGAATTTGTTAGAACCTCAGGGACCAGCTCTGCTTACTTCTCAGACGCCTGTTTGTTGGAAATACCAGTTTAACTGACAATTTTCTCAGCCTCAGTATCTTAAAAGTACAGGCGTTACAGATGAGAACAACTTTGCAGACTTTTCCAGTCCTCATGTAGGGTTGTTCTCCCCATTACTGAGGTGTAGTCCATATTTTCTCTCACAGACACCTGCAGCATATGAAACACTTATTTGGTCATTGGCAATTATGACAAAGCCCACAAATGGAAACCTCAAAAGGGCACACTCCTCAGGGAGCCTTGATTCCTCTGGATAAGACCAATCTTCCAGTATATCTCAGCAATAAACATGCCTGTCTTGGAAATAGCTTCAAAATGTGAATGAACTCTCTTTGCTTTAGAAAGAGCTGGTAGTTACATATCTGTATGTCCCATACCATTGTCAAGAATGGTGGTAACATATAACTGTACTGTGGAATGTGTGTGGAGAATCCCAAATTTCTGCCTGTTTCTCATGGCTATCCAGGCAATATTGTGTTAATTGAAGAGAGTAGCAGATAGGAGCAACCCTCCAGCATAAAGTGGATTCTGTGTTTGTATCCCAGCTATTGCAGAGTGCACACTGATTGTTGTCTTTGAACAACTTTGCGACCCATCCTGTTACTCTGGAAGAGACATTGGAATACAAACAGAGGACAAACGACCCCCTTGTCAGCAAATATCCCCCTAAGCAGTAAATAGAGTAGAAGAGTTATACTTGTCCTAGCAGATGTTGCTTGTTAATGTGATCTCACATACAGAGGTTATTGCATTTGACGTTTTTCTGGAACTACTTGGTGAACGTGGCTGTGATGGAGTAAAGGACTGGAATGTGATTTAGCTTTTAAAGATCTGCCCTTGTAACAGTTCATGTCTCTAAAAGATGTACTTCACTGTAAGACCAGCAGGGCCAATGTTGTGCTGTGATGTGGCAGCATCATTGTACTTTAAGTCCTAAGGGCAGTGCTGCATTCAGAACCTGGCTGCAGCTGACATTTGAGTTGTTGCAATGCACTGTTTGGGGCCAGCTGCTGCGGAGCTGGGCAACAGGAGCAAAGTGAAATGCAAGGCTGGATCCTGACCCAGAGTCCCCATTCTTCCGCTGCTAGGAGCACTAGGTTTACCCTACAAGTCTTACTAGGAATGAATGGAACTGCTTTGGTTTTCTTCCAGTCTGGTTGTGCTTTGCCTCATTATAAACTTCCACATGTCCTGTCCTCTCCCTGTGCTATCTCCCAGTCTCTTTCAAGGGCAACACTGGAATGCAAGAGAGGTGCTTTTGTTGAGAGTTGTTCTGAGCCGAGAGGACAGGCAAAAATTAACCTTCGTCCTGCCTGGTGTTTCAAACAGCTTCCACCTGCAGGGAGGGGATGTGTTGAGAATGTGTGAGAGAAAACACTGAAATGGGAGAAAGCGCACAGAAAAGGAGAAAAAAAAGTACAGCGAGGAAGCTGGAGACAAACTTCAAGTTGTGGATTATTTCTCACCCAGGCTCTAATTAGGAAGCCTCTTATAGAACTGTGAAGCTGTCAGGCTGCCAAATGTCAGCGTGTTTATCGGAGATCAGGCAAGTCTCCTGTCTGCAGCACTTACAGTTTGGTGCCATGATCCTCTGGGTTCCTTCCGCCTGTGTGAGTCACACTCAGCACTGGCACATTTTGGGGTGTGCAGGCAGAGCAGAGAGCTTTTCCTTTTCCCTTAGGAAGCCGGGAATGAACCCTTTCCTGAGATCTGGTCTCTTCATCTGGTTCAGTGCAAAGAGGGTTAATCATACGGCTTGGAGCAGCTTCAGCATTATGTGCCATAGTGACTCAGATTCCCAGGGAAATCCCCTGCTTATCTGATGGAGCCTGTTAGTCTGCTAATTGAATAAGCTCCTATTAAAAGTGCTATGTTTTTTAATGACTGCTAACAAAGGGCCAGATTCGGATCTGATCTTTTTGCTTGGGATCATTTTTGCTGATCATCCAGCCCTGCCTGAGCTCTGAGACGGGGCTCCACAGACCTGGGGTCCAGAGCTGCGCACAGTGTGGAGCTGGAAGCGGAGCACCAGCTCAGGGTGGGACAAGTGAGATGGCACTAGGGCATCAAGCCTTCTTCTCTAATGAGGCAAATCTTCCTGACAAGTGATACGCAGGAAGCTTTTAATGGGGAACTTCACAAAGAGGGAGAACACACCTGTGGGACTCTGTGGCACAGCCCTCAGAGGGAAGCGTTGGTTGGGAGACTACCAAGGCTCCACGTAACGTAATTGCTGCAAATATCTAATACGTGATCCAACTCATGCTCTGAGTAATTAACTTACCCAGTGTTGAAATCGGGTTGATTTGTTGATTCTGCATTTGAGATGTTGTCTATGTCTGCATAGGAAAAATGCTTTGTATGCCACTGCATATGCACATTCAAACCTTAATTTTAATTAAAATTATGTGCATTATATCCGTATCTCCTGTTCCTTGTGAGAATAAGTTTGAGAAGATACTTGTCTAATAGGAACCAAAATAAAAGTGGTTAACCTGTGAAGTGCACGTAGCTGGGTCCCAGCTGCTCAGGAAGAAGGGTGTAATCTGCACTCTGCCTGCAGCCGGGCCTGGTCAGCCCCGGGGCTGCTGGCATCATCCTGGGACCAACATTTCCCTTCTTCATCTCACCTGAAACCTCTGCTGACTTCCCTGAGCTTGTGTGACATCAGACGTGAAACATTTTCTAATAGAAGAGGACTTTTTCGTTTTTCCTTGCCGATGGAGGATGGGATCTGGCCACCTTCACCGCCACGTGTCCCCACGCCTGCTCACTTCTTTGTGCCTCCCGTTTGTTTTTCTCCTCTGAAAGTTTTTATTAAAATGCAGGAGCTTCTTTTAGAAGGTCCCACGTATTCATGCTGCTGCGGTGCCGCTGCTTCAGAAGTTTCAGAAGCAATCCATAAACGATGTTTTTTTCACACAATAACAATAGGGAAGTGTCAGAAATCTCAGGCTGCTGCTATCAGAGGCAGAGTCTAAAAAACATTTTTCAGGCTCTTCTCTATTCCCCGCTCCCGAGCTGTCAGACGCAGTGACACGGCTCCATCACTCTGCCACTCGCAGTCCCAACAAACAGAAAATGATTTCCAACTGGCAAACACGCTGTTTACTTTCCAGAAAAATTGCACTTTCCAATCTGACAGCTGATCAAGGGATCTCCTGCTGCTGTCAGCATGAAGGTCTGTTTAAACACAGGGATGGAAGTTTAAACATTTTCTCATTATCACAGAATAAAAAAAAATTAAAAAATAATAAAAAAATAAAAGCATTGAGACTCTCCGACCACCTGCTGTGAGAGTAATGAAGCGCTGTCACATGACCAGCCGGCGAGGACTTTTATCTCTGCCCCAATATCATTACTGAAGTGACACCTGTCACATGACCCACATCAGGGCTTTCATCTGTGCTCCCCAAATGCAATTCTGGGTTGTGCGGGGGATTTTTTTTCCCCCTTTAAAGAGCATTGCCCACTTGTGCCACTACAGACAGGCTTCTCCCAGTATTAAAGCTCTCTGATTTTTTCTTGGGGATGTGTAATTTGGCCAACAGACCTGCTCTGACCCGAAGTAAAACAGATTCTTGGCCTGGGAAAGAAGTTATTGCATTTAGTTCAGGATATTTTTAAAGCAAATATTTAAGTCTGCTGTTAAACTCTCTTTACATAAAAGACGATGTTCTCTGAATTAGAGGATTTCTCCAAAATCTCAGATTTGTTTTCAATTTTTTATTAGGTGGTGAGAAGAAACAGCTTGAAGACCCTCGAGAACAAAAATCTCCATTTACTTGCACTTACAAACTCTTACCTGCTTTACCAAGGCATCCTACATCTGCCAAGAGGAGTTTGTTCTGGAAAAAGGAAAGGTCAGTCTTTACCAATGTCTGGGATTTTTTGTGAGGTCTTCACCAGCCGACACGAAGATTTGTGACAAGCCCACATATATCATAGCAGTACTGAGCGCTAACTCACCAGAACCTGTTCAGTCATTACCTCAAAACAGAATGTGAAACATCCAGATGGGTCAGGGGGTGCCCAGCTACATCTCAACTGGATGTGGGCAGGTTGGAGATAAGGTTCAGAACTTCATGGCCTTTCATTGCTCCTCCTTTCCCACTCCACATTTAGCCGTGCATGAGCTGTAGTACTTGTCTGACTCCTTTGTAATCTGATTCAGTTCATTAAAGCAATGAAAGACTAACCCACCAAAAGAGTGAATCATTTTCCACCTGTTTAGTAAGTTAAGTCAGCTCGTCTAGGGCTTGGGAAAGCACCAAAGAGCAAAAGTGAAAGACTGTGGCAGTACAAGCAGGTAGAGAAATGGGGAATAATGACCACATTTTGGATGGTGCTAACTTGATCCATGGATCCAGGTGTGTTTCTTGTTCTCTCTTCCTGACTTGTTACAACACAACATCCATTTTCTCTGAGAGCTGTTGTGCTTGAGATTGGGCAAGCCAGGGGATGGAGAATCTGCTGAAGTGAACACTCCTGATGTAAACAGTAGACTGTTAGTATGTGAGGCGGATGGTTCTGGGGCAATCGTCTCTCTGGTCTGATGTATTTAAGGCACTGGCCCTCAGATGTTGTTGTTGTTCATGAGCAGATGAAGAGTGCTGGGTTGCAGCGTATCCTTCTGCTCTGCCAGCGTCTTCCTGGCTTTCCTGTCCTCCAGATACAAAGGTATCAGGTATCATTTGGCCCTTTGGCAATTTAGCGTAAGAGCTTCGTTTATTATGGGAGTTGCTGCAATGTAAAAACAAAGCCATTCTAGGCACCGTGAGGAAAGTGCATCTGTTCCCATCATTAGATCACTTACTGCCCTTGCAAAACAAAAACATTTCATTTAACGTTTATTGAACTGTTCTTCAATGTCTCTCAATTTGAAGTAGACATCCAGCCATAACCATGACAGGCATTATAAGTGTTGCATCTTCACTGCTCTTCTCTGCCAACCCCAAAAGAGCAAAAAGAATGCAAATTTCCCTGTCCCAAGCTGGGCATCATTTATAGACTCTCTGAACATGTGTATTACAGTGCAATGTAGCTCAGAATTGGAGAGCTATTTCTTGCCAACACAGATTCACTTTTAAAAGACATTTGTAGCATTTTGCAATGCAGCAGCCAGTGCTTATGTGCTTAAGAGTTGTTGCTTTGCTTTGAAAGAGATTCCAGTTGCTCTTCTCTGCACAAATAAACCTGCATGTAGGAAGCTGACACAGAGATACGTGCCCAAGTAGAACTCTATAGGCTCTAGTCAGATTCTGTTTATACAGCTGTGAGGTCACTGTAATATTAATTGCAAAACAAATAAAATGCATAAGGCCCTGATACTGACACAAGATTCTCTTCAGTGTTTCAAAGTGAGGTCGGGCATCCGTACTCACTTTGAGTGCTTGGTGTTTGGTAGACATGGATCCACACAATCTAGAGCTGGAAGAACTTTTTGAACGTAGCTGGCTTTTTTATCAAAGCACAGACTATTGAGGTCTCTAACAATAACATAAGGAATACTAATTGTCTTCTTAACTGAGCAATACCTGCAGCTAGCCTATATGCCTTTTTCCTCTGCAATTATGTATACAGCGAGGGCAGAGGGGGACATAAACAGCTGTGCTGCTTTCTGTTTGTATCTGCAGTGCTTAGTCAGCACTCAGAGGAACTGTAGCTCCTTTAACCCTAAATGACTCTTCCATCTCTTTCTGTGGCTGCCATCTACTTCTCCAGTGCCTTGTCATAGCTCCGTAACAGGTTTCGTCCTAATACCTCAATGCCCTGCATAATTCTTGATCAGAGAAGTTGCCCCAGTCCTGCCAGTGACACTATTCAGATGAGTAAGAAATACTCAAGAAAGTTTGCATGCCTACACCATAACGATCTGTCTTTGTATTCTTTTTTTTTTTGCTCCCAGATCTGCTGTGAGATTACAGTGAGGCATCTGACTTCTAAGGACCGAAAATAAGAGAAAGTATCCCAGATAACTGAGACCAACCACCTCGACCAAGCTCATGAATGCCGTGAGTTGTATTTCTGATTCTTCCAATACAAATTATATGAAGAATTTTACAGTAACTATAGCTGGGAAAGAGCTCCTGCACATTTCCCCATGTATCCTGATCAGCACTCACCTCAAATTAGTTTTCCTTCTCATAGCCTGTCAGCACCCCTTGAGATCAAGGAGATTAAAACACCCTGGTAACTCATTAATGAGCCAGGACTCTGCAACAGCTGGACCAAAAATGGCCTGTGTTTGTCTTCATCTTAATTCTTTGCCATCTCCCCTCTGCTCACCAGCACCTGCACACACTTGAGACCCAGTATAAGAAGACCCCTGAATTCAGCTCTAAGCAGCCAGTCTGCAATGCATATGTCTAATGCTCTGCTGGTGTGGAACCAGTATGCTGGTAATCCTGTTAGCAGTGGCAGAAGCTCCCTCTAGGAAATTATAACAAATAGTCTTAAACAATTCCTTTTGTTGACAACTTTATCCAAGAAGCCATCTTCCCTGGAGACTTACTCAACTTTTGACTAATCCCCTCCTTCCCTCAGGAGCTCTTTTGTTGAAGTAGATTGTAGGCAAACCCAAAGAATGACAGGTTTCTGTAAGCCTTGGATCAGCCTCTACATTCTTTCAATTGTCAGTCCCCATCTGTCCTGTTTGTACAACGATCTTTGGGTCCAGGGATCTCTCTATTAACTGACACATGGCTGCATTTATTCTGCAAGTCCAGTGTTCAGACTATGCTGTTACATCTTCATTGCCAAGTCAATCTTTCTGACATTGCTTTCTGAAAAACAACAGGCAGGGCATCTGCACGCTTTTGTTCTCTTCTGCTGAAAGGTGATTTTAAGAAATGAGCCACTCTGGACCAGACTCTGCCCTTGTTTTACACCTGCAAAGATTTTGCCTCATTTCATCAATATGAAAAGTTATTTCAAAGGTCTTTGTTGAAATGGAGTATAGAATCTACTCCTGTTGCAAAGGAATTCTGTTAGCATTTGGCCTAAGTTCTGAATCAGAAGGACAAATAAGTCCTAATTCCAAATATTCTGCAGGGCCAGTGACTTCAGTTACTTTCCTTTCTCTTTGTATGAGAAAGCAAGCAGATTCCAACAATCCATACATTTCTTCTCAGCAGATAGAGGGGAAAAGGTGGAATAGAGTAGAAGATAGATGATGTATTGGCATGGAGTGTATGTCATCCTGGGATAGATGCCTGGCACTATCTGGTCCCTTCCTGAAACCAGAAGGAGAACAAGGAAGAGACTGTGATGATGTTTTGTCTCTTGCTGTGTGGCTCAGGGCCCATGGATTCAGGATTGAGCCTGGTATGTTTAGTTATTTGGTTTTGTCTATTTTTATAACTTAACTCAGGTTAGCCAATGAAAGAAGGCTAGCCAGTTTCATTATGTTCCCAGGAAATTCCATTCTCTCATGCACCAGCGTGAGGCTGTTGAGCCTTAGATGCCTATCTACCTCTGATTGGATTTGAAAAAGCACACAGAACCCCTGCTTTCCATTGGTAGCCTATTAAAATGACAAAAAAATTATTGTTTCATTTTTAACTTTGCTTGCCTGTCCAAATCCAGGAAAAAAAAGTTTGATAATCTGAAAAACATCACTTACAGAATGTCTTCTTGTAGTTAACTGCAGAAGAAGAAAACCTGAGCTGACATTTAAGCTTGTTTAATATGTTTTGTAAGCAGCTTAAAAAAAGGGACACCATCACTTTGAAGCCAGGTTAATATTAAAAACAAAACCAAAACAAAACCAACCAACCAACCAAATCACTGAAGAGAATCTCCTACTTTTTTCATAGTTTCACTGTTTTAAATCTTGTGTTTGTGAAGTGTCATCAAAATCAGGTTAAATTGGCCAGAGCTAAGTCAGTAAACACTGAAGCATGTGTGCCCTCCTCAAGTGAGCTGTCCGAGAAGCCTTACCAGAACTGACAGCCATTTTTATGGCAGGATTAGTTTTTCTCTGATCACAGAGAGGGAACAGCCACCCTGTCTGCCCTTAGCCAAGCAGGTGAGCTGGGAATGAATCCAGGCTGCCACCAAAATCCAGTCTGGCCACAATGTTGGCTCCTTCTCAGAAGTACTGAAGGCTGTCCTGTCTGCCGTTGTCCACATGACGAGGACAGATGGGGTTGAGCAAGGTTGTAACCAGGCACTGGGGGCTGGGGTCTGACCTCACAGCAGTAAATACCATCTACATGCATTTAGAAGCACAGGAGTATAGCTGAGATTTGTCCTGATATCACAGCTAAGTTGCAGACAGTAAGTCAAGTTAATTTGGCCTCAAGACCAGCTTCCATGTCTGCCCTGTAAGCACAGGCTCAGCTGGTGACACTGACTGGACATTTGCTGCTAGCAAATGCACAAAAAAAGCAAAGAGACAGGATATATGAAAAGGGTATTTTCGTGTAATTTCTTTCAGTGATGTTAAGTGATCTTTTGTTAATAGAGGTTTTCTGTAATAAAAAGGAGATAAATGTTGGTGCTGGAACAACATTTTAAATCCTGGATGTCCAGCTTTTTCGTTTGCCTGAGCTGCATTGAGTGAAGAGGAATTGCCTTGGGTGCATATGAAATATACAATATAGTTAATGTACATAAATAACAGAACTTCTTTTATTTTTAAATAATTTTTATTAAAACATAAGAAGAGATGGGCAACAAAGACATAATGTTTTAAACTGACTCATACTAAAGTACAGGTCAATTAAAACCATGAATGTTACAAACCTGAGGGATTTCTCCTAGGTCGGCTCAGGTTCTGGCACATGCACAGGAAGCTGTTTTATCACAAAATTAGGCAGGTCAATTTTGTGACATTAGTCCAACATTGTGCTCATACAGTGATATAGATGAAATCAAAGTATGACATGTGGCAGAGTAACCAAATCACATCAGAAACACCCAAATGTCTGCTTCAAGCCACAGTGTTATATGGAGTTCTGAGAGAAAAAAACTCCAATGACAAACTCCAGTTTGCTGCTCAGTGGCTTGCTGTGGCAGGATGTGATGACACGGGCTGAACCCAAGAAAGGTGGAGCTATGGTTTCATCACTCCAATGGAAGAATACACATTGCCATAACATCCATTGCAACATTGCTCTTTTCTCCCCTGGGTAGAGCTCTTTGTCATTTCTGGTACTTCAGTGAGCAAATTCCATTGTGTGTTAAATCATAACAAGTAAGCTATAAAATGTGAATTCAATAGACATAGACAAAGGCAAACAAAGCAATTTGGTCACTTTAAGCAATGTGGAAATGAAACCATATTTTGACTGGGGAGGCATCAGAGGAAAGGGCACTGGTCTGAGATTTGAGAACGTGACAAAACAAACCCAGACCTCCCACGATACCACTGTGCATTGTGCACTGGGGGCCACTGGCTTGCTGACCTCTTCTTTCTGAATGTGAGAAGATTTGGCATTTTGTCCTCAGCCTGGGATGTGGTGGTCCAGCTATAGATATTGGTCGTTTTTCCACCTTCAATGCATAAAAGAATTCATATGCTAGAGAATGATGGCAGCATCTTTCATAGTGGCAACCACATGCTTACCCAAGAAGTAGCCAGTTATTTCTACTTCTTACCAAAACTTGCTTGAACCTTCTGAGAGATGTCCTTTATGATAAGAAGTAAACAGGTCACAGATTTCAGGTTGCAGTCTCACTGCTGGAACTGAGAGCACTGATTGTTCTTTGGAAAACAAAACAAAACAACAAACAAACAAACAAAAAGAACAGGTTAAGGAGAAAGCTGCAAAATAGTCCTTTTCTTACACTGAGCTACCTTCCTAATACTCTCCTTCAAACTAATTCAGGATCCTGTTGTTCACATCTCCTTTTCTCCTGAATTTTTTGGAAAAGGATTTCTTTAATCTAGGCTTCCTTCTCTAGAAATCTCATCTGTGGTTTTTCTTTTTTCTTTTTGTTTTTATGGAGCAACCAGCAAAATATTACTTGGTAGAACAGTAGTGCAATCCACTAATCAAAAGGATTCAAATGGATCTACCCGCTGCCAAGCTCTCTCCTTCCCACCCAGCAGAGGAGGAAAAAAAAGAAAAAGAAAAAAGAGATAGAGCAAAGGCACGAAGCTTCTCTCCTTCAGCAATCTCACAAATGCAAAACCTTCCACTCCAGTGACTCCTCATTAACTTACCAAATCTGACAGTCTAATTATCGTAGCTGCTTCACGCTTAGAATAAATAAATACTAAAGTGGGTGTTTAAAGAAATTGAGCAGTGAAATTCAGTCATCTAGACAGTCAATAGAGAGAGAGTTTATTTTAAAATTTTATATTCTTACGTATTTATATCATTTTAGGAAAGATAATGAGATAGTTGTCTTTCAGGCTAATTGAGTTCCTATGCTTGTGGCTGCTTGCTGTCACAATCTCAAACTTAGCTTTAACTTTTGTGCCTTAGAAATCTGATCACTGCATCCCCATTTGCTCTTCTCTACTGGTAACTGGCTGAAGGCAGAAGTGCACCTGAGGACGGGAAATAAGTACATGGAACTTCCAGACTGCATGTCTTTGACAACAAAACAACTAGATCTTCTCAGATTTGCATTTAAGAGCATTAAAAGGAAAGTGAAAGAAATCTTAGATATAACTTTGCAATTAGACAAATAACAGAAAAATCTCTACCAACCTCTGATACAGTAGCATCTGCCTCTGTGAAGAGTATTAGTAGTGCTCCCTCCCAGAGCAGTTCATCTCCCTGAACAATAGGACCTTTATAGAGATTCTCTGGCTAGAGATCAATGGGAGTTAGAGCATTTGATCCATGTCTGCAGGACTTTGTTTCCCCAAGTCATGTGGACCAAACTTGGTGCCAGTTATCCTTTTGCAAGAGCATGAGCTGGGGATTGAGCAAAGGAAACCCTCCTTTTTGTCCTTTCCATTGCCTTGTGCTTCTAAACCTGCAAGCATTGTGGCTGCTCCAGGCC